GAAGGACCTATAGGTCAGAAGGAAGAATGGCTCAGGATGGCCAAGTTGGGTTGTAATGAAGAAAAAGGTAAAAAGGGAACATCAAGTAGTAAAAACATTCCCTGAAGAGTGAGGCAAAGGCAGCTCCAGCCCTGTCTCTAAGGTTGTAGAGCTTTCAGTCCCCTCCATGGCTAAAAAGAAGCCCTGGAGATAAGTGGGCAAGACTGAGCCTTTACAGATACCTGGTGTGCAGGCACAGAGTGACATTGTGCTATCCCAGGGCTTCCCCAGCTCCAACGCCTTTGATCCTCTGCTGCTCAGGATAACAGCATGAGGCACTGAGTCACCCCTCAGTCCCATGGAGGAATGAGGATTAATTAGTTGATGCTGGTGCGTTGCATTGAAGAGAGATGCTCCACTGCTGCACGAGCCACAGATTGTTACATACTGAGCTGAGCCAAATGCAGCCCTGGCTTCACGTCTGTGATCTCTGGAAGAGCAAGAAAAAGAACAGCAGTGGGGCCCAAAAATTGAATGTGGGCAATGCCAATGCTGCTGTCAAACCTAGGAGAATGGCCAGCACAGAGGTTCAAGAGAGCTTTGAGCTGACCAGTGCAGACAACAATAGTGCCTCAAGGACTGCCAACCCTCAACAAACACACAAGGTGTTTCAACAACTCCAGCACAGGGCAGGAGCAAGGCAGGCCCAGTTGCAGCATGGCACCATCACCCTGTCACTGCAGGGTGAACACAGAGCTGGGCCAGAGAACTTCCACAGTAAGACAGAAAAGGAAAATACTCCCCAGAAAACAGGGAAAGCCTCCTTAGCATGTTTAATGGTAGCTGGGATTTTTAGGTTTTTCCAGTGTGCCTGAGCACAGGTGCTTCAGCTGGCCCTGGCACAGCTTGTTGTAGTGTCAAGAGAGTGGTGGGATCCAGAGGATAGAGCAGCCCCTGCGCACCAGGGCCGAGTTTCCCAAGGGGAGGTGTTCTCTCTCATTGTTTTTGTCCTTGCCCCACCTCGGCGCTCCTTCCCGTGACGCAGAGAGCCCACGGGGGCTCTTGCACCCTGCCCACAGCTGCACCTGGGCCGCGGCGAGGAGGCAGCCTGCACGTATGTAAAACATGGGCTCTCTTTCACACACCGCTGACTTCCCTCGGCAAAGGAGGCGGCGGGGGGGGGGAGGGGGGGGAGGGGGAGGATGGGCACGGTGCCTTTCCTGGCTCCTCTCAAAATGCCCCACCACATGGTAAGCTCGAGGGGATGAGGGATGTCAGCATCGTGGCACGTGTCAGCTCTCACACAAGGAGCCTGTGGCAAAGGAAATGTGGCCCAGCATGGGCCAGGAGCCCACACTACTCAGCTGCCAAGGAGTCTGAGCAAGTCACATCACTCCGAAGTCCCCCGTGCCCGACCTCTCTCGCTCACCGGTTCTTCACAGCCAAGACAGCCCCTCCTGCACAGAGCTGACCCGAGGGGATGCCATCCTGCCTGGCATCGCTGTGCTGTATTAATATTTAACAATGAGGAAGAGATCCAGAGAATTTAATTTCTCCCACTGGCCAATTCAAGGATAATTGAATTGTGCAGGGAATTTCACCATTTCAGAGGGTGGTTTCGTTCCAGTTCACAACAAAACCCAACCATGCCGCAGTGCCTTCTGAGAAGGATCACAGCTCAGTTTCAGGCAGCCTCCCTGCAGCAGAGTCAGGCATGTAAGCAGCACAAAACACGGCCAATCTCAGGAGGTGCCCAGCAGGCAGGTCCCACCAAACTCTCCCCCACAGAACTTAGGTAAAAGTCAAACTCTGCTGAATAAGAAAAAATGGTTACTTCTGAATGTTTCCACTCAGTTCCAGATTTTCGACCCCAAAGCAATGTCAATTTGCCCTCATTACACCCCCTCGGTGGAGACAGCTCCTGCTATAGAGGCAGAGCAAGTGAGGCACAGTGAATTTTTGACACAACGCGTGCCCAGGGTCATGCTAGAAGTCAGCCACAGAGGTGAAACGAACCCAGTGTTTCTGGCTCCCAGCTCTGGGCTGTGCCAGCTATTGCTTTCTCTTGCACATAAATCACTTTTCCCCACCAGTGAAGGACAGCTGGCCACTGAATGGAAAGTGGCAGTTGTTCAGCAGCCCACAGCAACATGCTGCACACCAGCTTAGGGTGGGAAGTGGAGAACACTCAGAGTACTGATAAGACTGCCAGGGGATCTGGGCCAGTTGAATGGAAACAGAGCAGCTGGAATCCAGCCAGGGCAAAGCCCAGCGCTCCTGGAAAATCAAGACAAGTTAAAAACCCCAAAGGAGGAAGCATTTCTCTTGCCTTTGCCAGGAGAGCAGGTACCTCTGCCACAGCTCTGCAGGTCAGCTCCAGGCAGCAGAGCGGGGGTCCTCTTGTCCATCACTGATGTGGACAGTGGTCACAATGAGAGCTACCAAGCAGCTCTTACAGCTTGACCACAGCTGCTGAGCACCACTTCTGACCTAACCCAGCCACTCCCTTCAAATGAAGGCCTTGGCAAGCAAAGACATTCAGTTTTAAACAGACCCCAAAGCAAATATTAGAGGTGGCCTTGAATCTAAACCTCTACCACTAATTTCAAGGTTTGGAAGGGACAAATAAATCCCCAGGGCTGGATTTATCTCTGATCTTTGTTCCAGGACAGAGAGATCTATTACCACGGGTGCCGCATCAGTACACAGACTTTCTCTCCTGTTGGCATAGACTGAGCATATCATGTCTTATGCTTAAAAGTTGGTCTAATTTAACTGCTGGTGTGGCAAAGTGAGGGAAAAAAACCCCTTCCCTTGGAAAACCTGAAGTAGTCGAGAGCTATAATCCCAACAGACAAAGCCAACCAAGCTGATTTGTGCTGAAATTTCTCACAGAGCACCTCCATGAGCCATTTGCCCAGCAGGCTGAGGATACAAAATCTTCTTCAAGTGACTGGACTGAAGGTAAAATCCCGTGGGTCAACCTATCATAGCAGAAGAGACTGTATGACAACCTCATTCAGTTCCATCCAAGAAAAATCAGTCATGACCAAAGTGCAATTGGTGTGAGGTTTTCTATACTAATTAAATCACTTTTACACTAATTTTGCTGACATAACTGACAAAGAGAAACACATCCACAAACTGAAACAGTTGAACCAGCAATGCTTATAGGTACTTTTGTCACAGAGGGGGATTTCTCTTTGAAAATCTCCAGAGGGATAGGGAACTGAGGCAACAGAGAAAAGAGAAAGCAAGTAGCTCCAAAATGTTTCTTTAAGTTTAGATTTCAGTCAGCTTGGCAAGCTCTTTCGTGGTTTGAACACAACAGAACCTGAGTCACTAGCCTTAATTCAGCTTCAGGCCTTCCATGCCTCTGATCCCAATCCAAGTACTACTTTCACAAGAACTTTATCAAACATTAGCCCTGGCTACCCCATGAAGATGAAAGATATCCTCAGCTGCCTTGTCTTCTCTGGAAGTAAGGGCAGTGTTATGGCCTGTCTAAACTAATAACTGACAGTTCCTAGAGGTATTTACATAGTGGAAGATGTAGCTTTAGATGTGTCCCAACTACTTTGGGTTGTAAAACATGATGGACCTGAGACACAGTGTCATATTCTTAGACACGCTCCACTTCCCCTGCCAGTTCTAGTAAATACTTTCTCCTAAGAGTAAGAAAAATATTTGCCCCAAGGTGAAGCAAGATGCTGCTCTTAAGGAACTAGATTTTATTTTGTACCAGCTGAGATTCAGCCACCTGTAGGAAGTAAAAACAGCATCTTTCTTCTTTGAAAGTAGTAGAAGGAAAGAAATACCACATCTGAAACATAACAGTGGAAAAAAAATCTGTTTGAAGGTGCAGGAATGGACAGTAGCACGTGTGGGTTGCTACAAAGCATTCTGGGTGGACCAAAAAAAGTTTCATTTTCACTAGTTCAGAAAACACAGCGAAATTACTCGAGGTCAAAGGGATTTTACCGCAGTCCAATAGTTATTAGTCAACTGGAGAGTGACCTAGGAGATGGAAAAGTCTCCCTGTCTTACAGCAATTGTGGAGGACATGAAAGAGTGGCTCATTTCATGCCACATTCCTTCCTTCCCTCCCCCAGAGTGCACCTGCACACCAAGAGCAAATCGAAACCAGTCTATTATAAACCATGGTCTCCTTTATTTTGAGGGATCCAAATCAAGAGCAAGGTTGAGACAGCATAACCAACACAAAAACTTGTTTCTCAGCATGATTGCCCCTCTCTGGTGGCCAAGTCCTGGTTAGTACCTTCAGAATCACAAAGCTAGCTGAAAGTAGGGCATGCCCATTAAGCTTCCAATCTTCCTTACACAGCCACGACAGTTTGCACATGTCTTTCTCCTTTGGGTTTTAGCCAGAGTCCAGCCCCTTTGGGCATCATAACACAGCTGAATGGTTTAGCTTCTTTTGTTCCAGCTGAAAAACAACCTAGCCCTCCCCCGCCAGCAACAATACAACTGGAACTGGGATTTGTGTGTCCTCTGAGCAAGGATACAGGCTTTGTGCTTGCTGAGCTGTCTTTGCAAAGACTGCCAACACTCACAGCTGATTAAGCCTGCAGTGCTGCTTTCTGCTTTTCCTGCTCACAGACAGATGTCAGAAACAAGCTAACTGAAACAGCGCACACAGCTAGAGCTCTCCACCTAGGAACATTAAAGCAGACTATTAGGGATTAAATACATTGAGCCAGAGCAGAGTTTAACACATTCTCTCTAGGCTTCATTTCTACCTGGCATGCAATTCTGGGTAAGAAAAACCCAGCATCTCAAGAAACACTGTATTCTGGCAGGTAGCTCAACTTGGTGTACCAAAGAGCTGTATTTGTAAAGCTTTTGCCACCACCACGTGGCTGAAGCCACGAGTGCAGCACAACAACTAACTGGGAGTTTGAGCTGCCAGCAAGGTCCAGCCTTGCTGCCAGGGCAAACCAGAGCAAGTGTTCACAGCTTTTAGTGCCCGTCCCACATACATAACAAAGAGCATACAACTATTAAATATTACTCATTTTATTAAATTAGAACTCTCAAACACTAGTGACTTGCAGTAAGAATAAGGCATGACTTAATGCTGCTAAGAACCTGTTATGATAGTAAAGAGATTATACACAGCATGTGCCAAACGTACAGACATGTGTTTTCTATGTGCTGCTGTGGTCCAGTCTGCTGCATCTGAACTCTGCTCAGCCCTGGGGGCTGGGTTGCTGGGGCTATCCTGGGCTTGACAGGTAGAGTCTTTTTCTTCAAAGATCTAAAAGAAAGTTAAAGTGCTAGATTATCTTCTTTAGTCCATTCCTCCTCAGTTAGTATCAGACATGGAAATACTGAGCCCTTTGATGCGCAGATGCTCACACAGCTGGATTATTAACTGCCAGGTGCGGTCTATCTAGAAGCTGCAGGCCAGCCTTCCTTCCTTATTCCTCTCTTGGTGGAGAGACAAAACCTGGCAGCAAGGTTTCACATTAGTCCAAGGTGCTGTATTTCAACTGGAAGGAAGCAGGAGTCTGCTGCCTCTTCCCTAGGACTTTGGAAATAGTAGCCTATTCTTCTGATATTCTCTCAGAAAAACATGTAGCTCCTGGCCACTGGCCAAGTGGATGAAACTCAAACTTGATCATGAAATGGCGTTCAGATGTAACAAAGGATAAGAATCCCCAATTCAAACTGCCCTTCTCACAGCACCTATACGCTATCCACTGAATAGGAATCAAGCTTTTCTTGAGAGATAAGCAACTAGGAACAGTTCTGGATGAGTGGTTGTGACAAGTCAGGCAAAAAGGCTCCCCAATGTGATTCCAACTGCAGCAGCTTGAATGCCTGAAGTGAAAAAAAATCTGACAAACGTGGCTGAATTATCACAACGAGAAGCTAATCATCAGCAGAGTTTCTCATCAGTAAGCTAAAGGACAAGGCAGAAAATCCCGGTACAAGACCAGCACAGATCTGTAACATTCGGAGAAGTCGTTGAGCAGTGGAAACTCGTACGCCTTCCAGCTGGAAACAAAATGGAGAAATTATTTAATCAATAGAAAAGAAGAAAAGCAGTCATAAAAGAAAGGACCAGAGCAGGCAATAAGTGGCTAGCTACAGAAAACCCCAAACAGGCCTATTTACACCCCTAACATCAAGGAAGGTACGGCATTGCCAGCTGAAAGCCCTGAAGGGCTTGCCAAAGGCACAAGGTACCACCTGCTGGTAGGGAAGCAGTCTCTGAGGATGGAACAATGAGTATACAAAAGTGAAGTGTGCTACCGTTGGATGCCAAACTCACCCTCCAGCTTTTCAGACCAAGGAGGTAACTGGAAAGAGTGGCATATCAGACGGTAAAACAGTCAGTGAAGCCACAAAGTCTGGCTAACAGGAAGTATTACATGGGCAAGGAAGTCATTGGCAAATAACAGCTCAGGGGCTCCCAGGAAGAAAAAACACGGTAAGGAACAAGCATACCAAGGGTTTGCATACCAGGGATGACTTTTTTAGTTTAGGCTTGGCTTCCTGAATCCTTGAAGTAGCACAGTAAGGAGCAGGTTACTAGAAGGCTCATTTCAAGGACAGACTCCTGTACCTCTAGTGTTTTTGTAAAAACAGTCTGGTCTCTGACGCTTACACAAGACAGCGGCGTATGTACCTGTATTTATTACTAATGTAATGATGTTCCTAAGGATCACAGAGCAGTGGAGTTCAGAAATCCCTCCAGACATCAAATAAGCACCTTACCTCCAGCTCACAGAATAGCATAGGACTGCAGTAGGCTTCTCCCAGTTTACAGATGGCATTCGTCTCAATGCTGCAACAATTCACCCTGCCAACTACAAAGAAGTTTTTCCACATTACAAGCCCCATAATCAGCAATCAGTGAAGAAAAGTACCAGGAAATTCCACAACTAAAAAATGATCCACAGCTAATTTTGAGAGCACCGTGGAAGGTAAGGCAACAGTGAGCAATACAAACAGAATGATAAATGACTTGAATTAGCACGAAAGTATTTCATAATACTAACATCAGGAATAGTACTGCCACATTACTGTTAATCTAACATTAACAGTTGGAATAAGGGATCAGTGCACCATCAGCACGGGCAGAATCTTCCACTTACTTATCAGAAATCCTGCTGGCGCATGTAATATCACAGAGTGGTCTTGTCACCAAAGAAATTCACTTCATCAGGAGAGCCACAGGACAAGACAATGCTAAGACTCCTTTACTACCCCAGAACTAGGCCTCCTGATCCCCAAACTCCAGGGACACAGCACCTCTGTTTCAACACCGAGCAGTACAGTCTGCCCACTCCAGTTCCTCAGAGCTGAAGCAGGGAGGGTACACAGGAAAGCACCCTCTCTCCTTGAGGCAGGGAGATAGAAGGATTAGAGGCACAACAGGGCCAGACAGTACACAGCAGGAATACCAGTCTTGCATTAAAACTATACTTAATAGTTTTGTAGCTCATCCATTTAGATTCACTTTATTATCACAGTATCATATGCTCCTCACTGCTCATTAAGATTATCATTAAGGCAGATCTGCAAGAGCAGATAGAACAGACTTCTGCAGGGCCACAGGAAAAAAAGAATCAATAACACAAATCATATTCAGAGATTAGGGACAGAGAAGAGAGGTCTGACTGGCAAAATCAAAAATGAGGGAGGGAGTGAGCAAGAGAGAAGAGAACAATGTTTTATCTAAGAAAACAATAAAAAAAGGCAGCTGAGTTCAGACATAATTTAAACAAAGTTATTTACAAAGCCATTGGTTTCCTTTGGTTTATTTCAAGTTAAGTCACTGCCCTGTTTTAAGAAAACTAACAGCACGTGGTGTTGCTTGGAGAGAAGGAAGAGGTGCCATACGTACCCCCAGTGACAAGAAAGCAGACTTTCCCCAGGAAGAAGGTGGCATCCACATAAGCTAGGGAAGCTTCGACATTCTTCAAGCTGTCAGAAAAGTACAGACAATCCAGTTGGACAGGGAGGTTAAACCAGTGCAGCATAAGGACAACAGGAATAACTTTCAGAAGCACAATTAGAAAACCAGTGATGTTAACATCTGCTGATCTGTGAGCTCGCAGAGTTCTGCTCTATGCTAAAAGCATGACATCAGAGACCTCTGTAATACCCACAATTGTTGAATAATCCATAACATATCCTTTCTACTCAAGACTCAACAGTTAGTCTTTGTTTGAACAGTGTCCTCCATGACTTGCAGACACTAAGCATCCGAATTCATTAACATCCAATGAGATTCAGCACCACTTTGGCTCTTTCAGGAAGAGCTTGCCCACACATTTCTGCAGCACCATCTGTGCTGTAAGTATGCAGCTGGGCCTGTCATTTTTGGTAAATGAGAGCCCAGGATCATCAGTCACAAGTTAAGTAAGTAATAAAATGCTGACTTCTGTGCCTTAGCAAGTCTTTACTTATGGCCTGGGGACACAAATATCATTTCTACAAAGATAAGTACAAGATGACAGAAAAGGGATCAATCCCTGAAGACTTTTCTTTTTTGCCTAGAGACATCAATAGTGCTGATCCCAGGGGACCAGGAGGGTCCCCCTGTGAAAAGGGGACACAGACGCAGCAACTGGCTGGTTACTAGGTAGCACTGCCCAGTGCACCATCTGCATATTACAGAACTTCACAGCACCCCCATCATTTCCATCTAATTTTACAGACAGCATCTTTCTAAGGCTCAGTTCATACCATCACATATCCAGATCCAGAAATAAATTCTGCATTCTCTGCTACGGCAACTTAGTGCACAACAGGCATGTTATTGCACGGAACAGTTCAGTCCTAAGCCACTGCTGGAGGCCAGAAAGCCACTGTATACATTACTGAGCTCTTCCACCACAGCAAGTCTTGGGTTTGAAATTCACTATTCAGCAATTCCAAAACAGTAATGTAGATTCAGCCATTAATCCAAGAAAGAATATCAGTTTCCCCTCTCATATTTTTGCCCTTCTTTTACCTGCATTTGCTCTTGATGTCAATCACAAACACAATCAGATCTATCCTGGGCCGAAGGTGATCCCTCTCTGAAGGTAAGGGGAGGGATGTAGCAATGTGACTGAAAGATAATAAATTTGCCAGTTTAACCAAATAGCTTGGCAAGACAGTATCCACTTATGCATAACCACACAACCCTTGAAGTTCACCGTGTAGCAAGTTACCAGGCAGCCTGCTAATTACTAAATACGTGGTAATTGAAGAGACTGAAGAATTGAAGAGTGATTTTTAAGTGGTACTCTCATATCGTAGGCACACTCATAGATGCTGACAGCCACAGTGGTAATCACTAGACAAGGCTCGTTATAATGGGAAGCTTATTAGAGCATAACAAGACTCACGGAAACATTTTTGCTGCACAGATCTGTATGGCAAGTCATTTTCTTTAATTGTCACGAAGAGTCCTTTCTAACAAAGTGGACCCCAATGCTTTACTGGTATATTTTGCTGCCAACTTTCATTTAAAATGCATCAGTGCTTTCCTGTCACATTCCAGAGATTCTGCTCATATGCTCACGCGGGAGAGGCTACCTTTCCAGGCACAGAAAAACCTTAAACCAGAAACTTATCACTACTACAGCTTTACAGATGAAGTTATAACTCAGAAAGAGTTGCTATTATACCATTACTCCCCTTTTTAACCCTTTTACTGTGCAGGAGCTACTAGATTAGTTTATTGCTGATACAGCTGTTGAAAGAAATACAGGGTGGGGACTTTTTGTGTCTCTTCCCACTAAAAAAACCAAACAACCACAACCAACTAACTAACAATAACAAAAAACAAACAAGCAAACCAACCAACCAACCAAAAACCCAACAAAAAAGGTTTCAGCAGTGCATAACTGGACCTTCCACAGGGAAGAACATTATCAGCATCTCATTTTCGGAAGATCACCTTAAAGACAAATTGGACAAACAAAAATCCCAGAAGTTCAGTCACTCTCACAATCCACTTCCTCTCTGGAAGCCAAGAGAGAAACACTGATTCTGATCTTCTTGGGGAATATTACTTCTAGCAATTCAATCTTAAGGTCTTCACAGTTTTCACAGCAGCCACAAACCACAGTACACATTCCCTTCTATTAATCTTATGTAGTTTGTAGTTTTGTCTGCCAGTCTCCAAATAAAGCTGTTTGGTTTCTTACACATAAGGAAGGTACGATTTAACAAAACCATTCTAAAACTGACAGAAGAGATGAGCAAAGTGAGCTTGAAAGACACACTGCAACACAAACAAGCGTATTAATTTAAGGTGAAATTTAAGGAGACACTGTGGTGAAAACATCAGATCTCATTCTCTGGAGGAAAAAAAAAAAGGAAACTGAAAAAAGCACTGCTTTTTTTTTTTTGGAATTCTGCTATATTTAAACCAAAATGACTAGATGATGTCAGCAGCCTCCAGACATGTGCTGCAGAAACCCTTTTTTTCCCCAGCAATAAGAGACACAAAAAAACCCCAGCCCTGCAATTCTTCTCCCAACAGCTGTACCTGGCAGGCAAACTTGCCAGACAAGATACCATATTTCTTTGTAATATGTATAATCCCAAAGTAATATAGTGGGGGGGGAAAAACCCAAAGTAATATAGTGTGTGGGGGGGAAAACCCAAAGTAATATAGTGGGGGGGAAAAAACCCAATACCACTGTAACAGACTTCGCTTTCGTAGTGATATTAACACAGGGACTTATCTTGCTCTGTAGTACAAGCACACGATTCTGTGCCTTTGGGCAGTTACCCAGCTGTAGTACCAGCAGCCATCTAGTTATGGCATTCCACAGCTCAGCAGAGGCTGCAGGTTCCACACAGAAAATGGGGTAATTCATTTGCTATTAGTTGGCACAAACATCCAAGATGCCATAATCAGAGCAGTACAGTCGCCCTAATTAGCCAGTGGTGCAACTCCACTCAGGTTGTTTTTACTGCATAGCCATGGATTACAGCAGCGAAATAATACAAACACCTTCTGAAGAGCTGACTAAACTCATTTGGTCCTGGCAAGAGAGCTGTCAAGGACATTTTATCATAAAAAGTTAGTTAATCAAGCTTTTAAGACAGCACTTGTCACACAGCTAAAGCTAAAATTTCAAGTGCATCTTAACAGCTCGAGGAGGAAAAGCACGTGTGTGCACACAACTTAGAAAATGGCTACAATGAGCACCAAAAGCACTGGACATCTTGTTTGGTTTTAAGTACTTGCAAGCATTGTACTTGTCCCATTCTGTCACAGGATGTTCAATTTCTGTATATGCCTTTCTCTCAGGTGGGGAAAAAATAAATATCTGTGTTCCTCTCATACCCTTTCAATTTAGTAATGAAACATCTGTGCAACATCTGAAGGGCAACGGTATGCCCACGGTGAACATGAATGTGGGAAGTGCTTCCACCCCCGTTTCCAAGCATGCCCAAACTGCCTGCCCTGAGGGCAGAAGGGTTTGCCCGCTGCATATATGGCCACATCTGGGCAGCGGTGCTCTCTAGCGTTCGCAAGAGAGAAGTTGCTCTCCGAACCGAGCGCCTTGCAGTTCCGACTACCGCCACGGGGGCGGAACCTGCATTTTTAACCAATTTCGGTGCGTGCATTCCTGAAGCAGAAGCCTTCCGTGAATTCGGGTGATCTGGGCCCTGAATGAGCCCGGGGCTGCAGGCGGCGAGTCCCTCTCCCCACCACTCACATGCTGATTTTGAAGTCCCTCTTCTCCTGGAGGATCGCCTCCGCCAGCTTCTGCTGGAGCTCCTCGTCCGAGCCCACCAGCTGCGGGCACAGACGGAGAGCGCGGTCAGAGACAGACCCCCGGCCCGGCGCCGCGGGGGCGGGGCCACACCGGGGGACATTTGCATATCGCAGTGGGGCAGCCAATCCCCGCGGAGGGGCGAGCCCGGCGCGCTGAGGCGCGGCCCGAGCCAGCGGAGCGCACGGAACGGGCGGGCTCGGACCGCAGGGCCTGGCCCGGGGAAGGGGAAGAGGGGGCGGGCTGCGGCGCGGCGCCGCCGCGGGACCTACCAGGAGGGCGGCGGAGTTGAGCCCCGGGAGCTTGTCCAACGGCCGCAGCACCGCCATCTCCGCCGCAGACGGCACCGCCCGCCCGCCGGAATTCAAACGGCGGCCGCGCGCCGCGTCGCCTTGACGTAGGGCGGGGGCGGGGGGGCGGAGCTAACGGCGCGCGTGCGCGTTGGTGCCGGCGGGCAGGGGGCGGCGGCAGGGGGCGCTGCGGGGCTGGCCGGGAACCCACCCAGGGAATATCCTGCTGGATAAGGGACCCAGAGGGATCAGCTAGTCCAGCTCATGGCACTGCGCAGGACGGCCCGCAGAGTCACACCATGTGCCCAACAGCATTCTCCAAACGCTTCTTGAACTCTGCCAGGCTTGGTGCTGTGACCGCCTCCCTGCAGAGTCTGTTCCTGAGGAACTTTTTTCTAATAGCCAACCTAAACGTGTGCCAGCACACCTTCAGGCCATTCCCGCGGGTCCTATCGCTGATCGTCAGAGAGAAGAGATCAGTGCCTGCCGCTCCACTTCTCCTCATGGGGAAGTTGTAGACTGCAGGCGCAGCGCAGGCCCCGCCGAGCACTCGGATACCACACGCTGGGACTGACCACCAGAGATGGCTAATCACGGTAAAACTCTGCAAAGCAGCAGTATTTCTGTGGCATCCAAGTGTCCAAGGGGTCAGTCATGCCTGAGGCACCCATGAGTGGTGCCAGGCAATGCTGGAGAGATGCTGAGGATTAGGATGGTGGCCTCACCTCGGCTGTCCAGGGGCATCATGGACAGCCTAAGCTTCTGAGGAGCAAAGCTCTTATTTCCAGGGCTGGGCTGTCCCCTGGTCCTTGCCATGAGCAGATGCCCATTTGTTTGGTCAAGGCTGAACAATATCAAAGGCTTCAGTAAGATTCAACTGCCTCTGTACATTACAGTTTATAATGTGAACTAATACATAGAATCATAGAACTGTTAAATCAAAAGGACCTCTAAGATCATCGAGTCCAAACAATGAACCAGCACTGCCATGTTCAAAACTAAACCGTGTCCCCAAGTGCCACATCTACACCTTTTCAAACACTTTTGGGATGATGACTCCACCAGTTCCTTGGGCAGCCTGTTCCAATCCCAGACCACCCTTTTTAGTGAAGAACTGCTTCCTGATGTCCATTGTAAACCTCTACTGCTGCAAATTGAGGCTATTTCCTCTCATCCTGCTGCTTGTTATTTGGGAGACCAACCCTCACCTCACTACAACCTTCTTTCAGGTAGTTGTAGAGAGCAATAAGGTCTCCCCTGAGCCTCCTTTTCTCCAGGCTAAATACCCCCAGTTCTCTCAGCCTCTCCTCATAGGACTTGTACTCCAGACCCTTCATCAGGTTCGTTGCCCTTCTCTGGACATGCTCCAGCACCTCAACATCCTTCTTGTAGTGAGGGGCCTAGAACTGAACACAGGATTTGAGGTATGGCCTCACCAGTGCCAGGTATGAGGGAAGAATGTTAACAAAGTTAATACACTCATCCTATAAAGACTGCTTGAAGGAAGGGAATTTCCCTAACACTGTATGGCAGCAGCACCTGGATTTGCTCACTGAATTGTTCTGTGCAAGGTTTTCTGGCAGCTCCAGCAGCGTCAGCCTCCATCCTGCCCCTTCCTGGGCACCTTCTCCGTCTCCTCCCTGGCTGGTCGGCCTCTGCCCAACCCCACACTCCCCTGCCAGTGATACAGGCAAAGGAGCCCATGCAGAAGCACTGCAGTTATAGAGGCTGAGCTTTTCTCACTCCAGGGTCAGAGCAGGAGGATGATGTGCACTGATGTAAAGCCCTCAGAGGTCCAGTGTTCCTCGGTGGCCTGTGGTCCACCTTGCTGCATCTCCTGTTCTTTGCCTCATCCCTGTGTTTGGCTACAAATTCTCAGTGTGAGAAAGGGGGTCCAGGACCCCTTCAGCTGCCTGCTGGTGCTGGCTCTCCCTGCCCCTTACACCAGGACACCTCCAAATGGCAGGAGACATGCTGGAGAGGGAAGAAGGCTGCAGGAGAATGAAGACGTATCTCCCCTTCTGCAGCAAGCTGGAGAAGGGAGATGAAGGGGAGGGGGTGGGTTAATGTAAGCTGACATCACATGACTGCCGTGGCTTTTTTGATCTTGACAAAGGCAGACGGTTTCGCTCGTTGCCAGCATGAGACAAATTACAGGTGAAGCAGAAGAGATTATAGGATATTTCTGGCTGGTTTTGAGTTTAGTAGGGGGAAGGGAGGATGAATCCAGGGTAGACGTGTCCTAAAGATGGGAGGCAAGCAGATGCGATAAATAACAAGAGCCAGTTCCCAGGCTGAGGGGATGTAGAGCACAAAGGGGACAATGTTCCTTTCCGGCTGCTGAGAATGTGGAAAGATCTGGCACCCACCTAAAACATGTTTGTCCTCTTTCTGCCTCCTGCTACTCCCTGTTGCCTGCTCTCTGGCCCCACAGAAGGACCCGGGTGGCTTCAGTGTCTGGCTGGGGACGTGCTCACTGTCCACTGTCGCTGCAGGCTTCCTCCTTCTCACAACACTTGTGTCTGTGGAGATTTAGTGGGTCCAGATGAGCTACCACTGATCCCACAGTTATTATTCCTTGTCCCCAGCAGGTTTCTTGGCTGCTCCTTGGCAGACTTACCTCTGCAGAGATGACATCCACTTTCCCATGGAAACACAGAGATTCATCCTGCTCACTCCTCTGTGTGCATCTTCACTGTGCCCATTTGCCAGGGGGATGCCTTCCCCCTCAGCCCCTTACCAACAAAAGATCCTTGAGTACACAGACCACCTCACAGTGACTTGGAGCAGGGCAGTGGAAATGCTGATGGTCCCTGCCTCAAAGTCTAGGCTTTGGCAGAGCCAGTTTCCTCCTGGGATGCAAAGCCATTGCCTAACAGCTGGCACAGTGAGCTAAGCCAGGCAGATTCACTTTGCTTTCCTCTGTCTTTGAAATGCAGCCAGGGATGCTCCACAGCAAAGCCTGCAGTGCAAGCTCAGCTCAGTGGGAGAGAGGAGAACAGGAGTCATCATCCTGCACCTTTGTTGGCTATTTACACATGGACCGAGAGGTGTAAAACAGATCTAATGTCAAAAAGTAGCATTTAAAAACTGTTTTCATGGTAGAGGATGGTGTAAGGAGGTGGAGACTCAGGGTGGCAATGTACCTGGATGAGACACGGTTGGTGTTGGAGGCTGGAGTGTATTTACATATTACTGTGTGACTATGTCAGGCTGTTTCACTTCTCACCACCCCATTTCCAGTTTGCAAAGTGGGACTAATGAGTCTATCTCTGCTTCTGAGTGGTGCAGGAGAGATAAGACAGAGGTGTCTGTGCACTGGCCGCCAGTGAAAGCAGAAGGACAAGACCAAGGCAGGACATGGAAACGGAGAGCTCCTGATTTTACTTTGTGGGCTGATTTTGCTTTGGTAGCACAAAACCATTCCAAAAATAGGTAGAAGTGTATTGTACATGAAGATGCTCTCTTGCTGCCAACAAAGGCAATTAACGTCAGTGAGACTTGACCTGGCCATCACCAGTGCTCCCTGGGAGCAGGTTGTTCCTGGGGCAGTTGCTCCTGCAGCAGGACAGCACCAGCCACTACAAAAAATACTATACAGCACACCTTGACCTTGTGTATCCGTGACCAGTTTGCTGTATGCCTCATCCAGTGGCTGCATCTCAGGATATCTCTCTTGGTTCTCCCTGAGCAGCCAGAGGAACGAAGGAGACAGGCTTGAAGAAGGTCTAGAGAAGAGCACTGCCCCAGCATGGTCCCAGTTATCTCAGCACCTGCTCCCAGACCTCCTGACAGTGGTGTCTTCATTCCAACCCCATTCAGCACAAGTTCTTGAGATGTAGCCTGGCCATGCCTCACTGGCTCCAGGCTGACCTCTCTCAGTCCTTTCTGGGAAGCCTACAGGATACAAACTCCAAGGCAGGCAGAGGGGACTGAAAGCTTCCCAGGCACTGGGCAGAATGATACGCACATGCTTATGCCTGGAAGATCTGAGTGGCACACAGCAGCGTTATCCGAGGTGAAAGCTGAAGTGCAGCTGAAGCGTTTCCATGCAGTTTGAGCTGTACTGGCACGTCGATGACTGGAGCTGTCTCGCCGCTACAGCTCCTGTTGGAAAACAAGGGATGCGACAGCACCTGAGAGCCCTGTCACAGGCGGCAAGCAGCTGTGGTGGAGACACGGGGTCTGCAAGTGTGTCCCAGCTCTGGCAGCACAAAGCCCAGTGCTTATTTATTCCTGCCTCCAAAGGTTTTTCAGACTCATCTGGGGGGGTTTCTGCTTGAAGCAAGAGAGGCTGCCATGTCACGACTTGTGCAAGCCCACCACTGTGGTGGTGATTGCAGAAAGAGGTGATCCCCCCTCCTTGTTGTGCTCTCTGAGTGCATGCATGGCAGGGAAGTGAGCTAGGGGAATAAATGACCCTGTGAGTCAGAACTCTTGCTGTTCTGGGGCTTTGGCTGCATGACCAGCATGCTAGTATTAAGCCTGAGCTTAAACCCAGGGAAAAGTTGCAAACTGATGGACACACTGCCTCTGGTGTCCCCCTGGGGTGACCTAGGATAGGGAGCTGGGACAGTTGGCTGGGGATGTTGCGGGGATCTTACACATTTTGGCTCAGTGTCCATGAGGATGCCTGGCCCAGCAGGCTCTACTGGTGGCCTGTGGCTTTGGCCACTGACTGGTTACCTGGAGAAATGAATAATCTACCTTGTGCCAGCCACCTCTGATGTCCCTCTATTTCCTTTGCATATGTGGAAAGGGGTTTTCTTTCTGACCTCTCAAGTGGACTGCGTGTTTGCCTACCCTTAGCATTTGCTCTGGGGGCAAAATAAACAATATCCTTTCAATGTTATTTTTTAAAAATCTATTTCTCTAAACCACATGTTTCTCTCACAGTACAGTCAAAACTGTGAGGCTTATGTTTTCCTCCCCCTGCAGTGGGATTAGTGAAGCAATTACTGTGCTGATGGTGAAGGTGGGTATCATGACTGAGTTTCAATGAGGTTAAAATTAAGGCACAATTGCAGGCTCCACTTTGGAGGTACATGGCAATCATCTGGAGTGCCCACCTTGCTGGAGTGAATGAGGAAGCAGCT